TATAACACACAAAAAAAAATCACATGAGATTATATACACCTGTCATAAAAGAATTATGGGGCTGCCATTTCCGAGGTCCTCCTGAAAATGCTAGATGCCTACCTGACTCTGAATGCAATAGTTCGTCACTTAGCTGGGACAAAGATGCAGCCAAATATTGATGTGCAGACTTGCTCCAGCCAAGCAACTAGCATTTTTAGATTGGGATCATTATCTTTCAGAGACCGTTCATACCATAGTGGTGTGCTAAACACACAGTATCCACATGTTCAGTGTACGCTATCATGCCTAGCATGGGGTACAGTGCACTAGGTGTATTACCATGTATTTAAATGCCACCCCAACGTACCTCTGAGAGGAATAAAGGGAAAAAAAAAGTAATGCATGCACTATTGCAGGCATATGCATGCAGGCATTTTTTTTCTGCCTGGGCAACTGGCAATAGATGGATTAACCTGTCATTAGCTGTTGTCGCAAGATGTTTGGCCACTAAATGGCAAAAACCGCTAACCCCACAAAGTGTAAACGATGGTGCAAACTGACATTTCATGGAGAAAACGGCACAAACAAATACATTGCCAGTCTGTTTAAAATGTGACACTACACTCAGGAGTTAAATCTTAAACATGCATTTAAAGTACCTTAACTATTAACAGAAATGTATCTTATTTGTGTATCACTCAGCTGTAGATCCTCAAATAATCTCTGAATTGGTGCTGACACTGTCCTTCCTTCTGGAGGGTGACCACTTCTGTTCCCCATGGTCCCTGTGTGTTTTGTAAAGTAGTCACCGCTCCAAGCTCACTCCTATGATGGACTACAATCTCAATACGAATAAGTAAACTAAAACATAAGAATTTAGTCCATCCCGGGAGCGAGCTTGGTGCGGTGACTACTTTACAACACACACAGGGACCATGGGGAACAGAAGTGGTCACCCTCCAGAAGGACAGTTGTCAGCACCAATTCAGAGATGATTTGAGGATCTGCAGCCGAGTGATACACAAATAAGATACATTTTTGTTCATAGTTAAGTTCCTTGAATGCATGTTTAAGATTTAACTCCTGAGTGTAGTGTCACTTTAAACTCTCTGTGGTATTTCAGTAAAGAAGGCTATTAATGTTGTTGTGTCGTCTTACGCTGAGATTTTCACGAGTGATTTGACAGATATGAGCATCTCTTGAAGTGTACTGCCAGTCCTAAGAGAACAAGAGTTCTAGAAGGGTCATAGACAAAGAAAAAGTACTGTGCTTACTGGAAAAAGTCTGTACGATTCAGTTTAAGAAACAGGGCACTCGATGGAGAACAGCTAGTTGACCTGATGATGGCAGGAGTGAAACACCATGCAGAATACAGCTAGTGTAAGGACCCGAGTTTGTCATAATGCTGGCCTCCTTAAACACTCTGCACAGCAGCATTCAAGACAAGGACATGTACGGTTAGCACTCTGATCTAGTCAGGGTCCTAGAGCTTTACTCAGTGCTGTCAGTCTAAAGGTGCCCATACACCTTACGACCATCGCAAGACTTTTGTCTTGCGATGGTCGTATGCTTCTTGAAAGCCCGTACGATCTGCCCACCTTGGACGGGCAGATCGTACTTGCCATCATCGAAAGCCCGCCCCGCTGAGGGGCGGGCTTTCCGATGACGGCAATGCAGAACGGGCAGTGTGCGCACACTGGCCCGTTCCGCAGCTATCGGGCGAGCAGGCTAGAAACCCGCTGAGAATCGTACGATTCTCGGCGGGTTTTCGAACATGTTGGCTCGACAAAAGACGTGCGACCGTACAGTAGAAACGGTCGCACGTCTTAGTTCACACTGCTCGATTCTCGTACGATCGCGGGATTTCGCCCGATTCTCGTACGAGAATCGAGCAGTGTATGGGCACCTTTAGACTGCTTACGTGAGGGGTCACAACAGATATGAAGGTTCTGCCACACCTACATTGACAGCAGACCAATATTGTTGGGTGGAGAAAGGTGTTCAGCCGATACTTACCATTATACATAAGAACATGTATCTGAGGCATATGATTAAGCTCCTATGATTACACCTCTGTCCTCTTCTCTCATGTCCCACGGAGTCTGTGCGAGTGCACGTTGCTCCATATACTTACCTTGTGTCTCTCCTCGTCGACCGGCCGAACATCTGAAATGTGCATGCGCCCGCCCCGAGATCCTTTGCGGCCGCCCGAGAAATTTTCAGATGTTCGGACGGGAGCGTACGGCAAAGACGTAAGTATTAACCCTTTCGAAAGTTTTTTTTTTTTATCGTTTTGCATATATCTACTGCTTGCTAGCAATAGATATATGCGAAAACATGCAAGGGTTTAATAATACTTTATGGGAGTAGGTACTCTTGGGCAAAAGATCTGCCTGTGAAAAGAACCATATATACACCATATAACTATTTTCCTATAGAAGCCTATAAGACACTCATACTATTTGCCCACAAATAATCCTTAAGAATTTTTTTGAGAAGCAATTAGATTTCATTACCAATTCCACTGAAGGATTGTTCAGCTGTACCCACACTAATCAGCCTCCATAGTACAGTTACAGTGCCAGAAAATGCTAGAATAAGCAGGGACAGTGTGTCATTAGACCAGCATTTCTCAACCTTTTTTTCAGTCTCAGCATCCTATACAGTTATGCAAAATGTTGGTGTCTAAAATATATAAAACAACTCAACACGTGGTCCCTAAAGAATCCATACCAAACATTTATCCGAGATGGGGCCTAGTATAGATTTTAAAGGGGACCACATGGAAAATTAAACAAAATGGGGGTTCCCCTCATACTAGGAGCCCCCTTTACATCAGAATTCCCCTCCTTACATCGGCATCTCACTTTCATATCAGAGTACCCCGCCTTTCCCATCAAAGTTTTATCTTCACATTAGGAGCCCCTTTTACTTCAGATAGCTACTATCACATCAGGAGCCACAGCTGTGGCAGCATGGGAAGAGGAGCAGGTCTAGACAGAGGAACATTTGTCTTTTAAAAAAAAAAAGAAGTTTTAAAGGATCCCACCACCCCTACATTAGCGTCATTCGTTTTTATTATGCTGGCTGCCAACCCGCCTGCACCATGAAAAGACACATTTTGGAGGCACCCCTGAGGAAGAAGGCACCCTGGATCTGACATCTTGCTACAGATACCACTGAGATTGCAGATTTCTAAAATAATTAAATATTCATGCCAGGACATAAGACAGCCCAGCAAATCTTAATTCATCAGCGCCCATGCCCCAAGAACCCTTAGATAGTCCTGATTTGCATATCACACCGCCCCATGCTGATTCAGTTGAAGATATCAAGGAACACTTTTATATCAAAGTTGTATCATAGATGTAAAATTTATTAATGCCACCAGACACCTGATTGGTCGGAAGCTGGCCAATCAGGAAGCCAGGCGCTGTGCAATGACGCGGCACCCGGCACAAGTGACGAGTGAGCATGGAAGGCTCAGGCATCAGGAAGCCTGCCAGCTCTTCCCAGCTTTCTAATACTGGAAGCATTGGTTTAGGCATCGGAACATTTGTACAGAGTACGAGAACACGTCCAAATACTCGGCATCGGCACCAATACTAGTATCGCATCCCTAGTTATTAGTATTGGGATAAAAGTTATGGAAATTGAATATAGAAAATAGGATTTATTTTTCATCCATTTTCCATGGATACCCTTTTGCTGGTATAAAATGCAGATAAGACAAAGCGTAGGAGGGTAGGAAAAAAGTCTACATCACTAGATCTAAACATAAAGCATCAGATGCCATAAGATCATTCCACTTTAAAATAGGATTTCATGCACTTCTATTCACAATAGCTCCTTAAGCCTTTTAGATGACTCAGAGGAGAAGCAGCAAAGAAGGTAAGGTTTCATATCATGTAGAGTGCCAGTCGGCTATCTGGAAGGAAGGTTC